TCACCAAAAACTAATTTGTTCGTCGAAGTCTTTATTTTTTTACGATTTAGGGGGAATATTGAAACTTTTAAAAAACATACAACTGAGGTTATTACTTTTGTGCAATAAATTAAATTACTTAGACTCACAAATTCAGCATATACAATGTGTTGTAGATTACATGGAAGCAAGTACATAGGAAGGACTGAAAGAAGGGTATCCACTCGATTTTATAGGCATACTCCGAGAAATCTGTGTCTGAATAATAGTAAGGTCTTAAAGAGCGCCATCGCTAGACATCTGATAGAAACAGGACATCAAATAGATGTTTCTCAATCTTTCAGAATAATGGAAGCTTTCGCTATCAAACATTTTCAACCTGACCTATATATGTATGCATACTCATCATTTAGCTTGTCTGGTTCAATTAAAAAGTGATTACTCTTGATTTCTGTTTGTATTCAGAAAAGAATCTCCTTAGTATGAAGTGTATGCAAAGGATTTATATAATGGAAATTAGTAGCTCCCAAGAATATCACCATTCTACCAGTAATTGTGTAGATATAGCCCAGAAAATTTTGTCACTTCAGTTGTTACCGAAGCATTCTAGAGGCTAAAACAGCTTCTCAGTTCAGAACTTTTTATCATGCCATGTGGGGTTATTTTTCAAATGTCATACATTAAGTTTCCTTGACAAATTTGAACAATGTGGGAACCCTGCGATCAAGAAAACAACATATTACTGCTGATATTCCTTATGATAATGTGGATCATGCATCAAATTCGTTCGACATCTTGGATCAAGCTCATTTAAATATTAATTTTGCAATCGAATACGAAAATGAGGACATTCAAATTTTTGGATCTAAATATAAGACGGAGATGTGATGGTAAAGTTGAAAAAACCATCCACAAGAAAGACACGTGGATTTGTCAATACCTTCACTAAAATAATTTCTGTCTTGTCAGATATAAGCGTGGTTTCAGTCAGGACTCTGTTCACTAAAATTAAAACTCTGTACTCAAAAGGTAAACAAGAAGAATTTGGTGTAATTGAGAAGGCTCTTATAGAGAATGTAAATCCGAAGAAATTCATCCCGAAGCATGGAAGGGAACTGATTAAGAGACCAAAACACCCAACTGTCGAGAAGAAATCTGTATTCCTTTCGTCTAGCATTTAAAGGTAATGAGACATCTGAAAGAATAAGTAGGAGAAAAAAGCTGTACTGCGAAGGAGCTTCCCTGCTGCCAGAATGACCTCAGTTTACAATACATTATGCTCAATAACACAGTCAAAAGTAGACAAGTACCCATCTCACGTCACATCCAACTGCGTATATCGATTCACCTGCGTTTGTGTTAGCAAGTACTTAAGACGGACCGAATGAAGGGTGTCTACTTGATTTTGTGAGCATATTCAGAGAAATGTGTCTGAACAGTAGCCAGGTCTTAAAGGCCACAATCGCCAAGCACCTAATGGAAATAAGCAATCAACTAGATGTTTCTCAAACCTTCAGGATAATCAATAAACAAAAAGAGCCATGTTTATTACGGTTTACGGAAGCTCTTGCTAACAAATATCCTCAACTTGACCCATGTAATCAGAAGGAGACTGTAATTAACCTTTCTTTACCTTGGTAAATGTATATAGTTTTTGCCTGTGAATGTATATAGTCTTCCCTTTTCTTTTCATTGCACCATCTCTTCATAAATTATTTATTGACTATTAATCACCTAACGATTTTCAAGTAATTACGTAACCTATTGGCCCTTAAGCATTCCATTCTTTTACACTGATTTCCACTTGTTGTTCCCTCACTCCACAGCTCTAGAATTTTTCATCTCATCAGATATAAATAGCTATTGGTTTTGACTAAGGCATGTAACTATTAATCCTATGTTTCTTTGACTTACTACCTTATTGTTAATCTTGGATTTCAAATCTTCATTTATTTTTGCGTGTTTAAAGTATGTTACGTTATTATTACTAATAATAATTCATTTCAATTGTAAGCTGTTTGCAGCTGATGAAAGACCATGAAATAAAATGTCTTTGTTCTTGCATTGTTCAAATTATGTGATTTTGTCTCAGCTTTTAATCTTCTAATCGACTCTTGTTCGAATTTGTTCAATGAGTTTCTTTCTTAAATGACCTTGAAAATAATTACTGTCATTTTCCTGATGGTTAGGAGTTGATATTTTATGTCTCATCTAATTTTATCAAACTTTTTATCATTCTCTTAGTGTTATATGATTGGTATATGTTCTACTTGTAGAGTTTGATGGCACTTTTATGACAGAAATAATATCTTCAGGTCATATCTATGTTATTCAAATGCTGATGAGAAATACCAGGTCCCACAACCCAAGAAAATTCACTACTACTTTTGTCGAGTATCTACCTAATAAAGTATCCTTATAATTTCTCTACATGCTGTTTCAAAATTGCACCTGACTACTTTACTCTATAGAGCATGCATTATGCAGCAGTCATGTTGTATCCAAAAGATATTTGTTGATAATCTAGTCCATGAATATAAGTTTAATCATGATGTCCTTTGGTTTGTCAGTTTCGTACAACGTATCCTATGTCTCAAACCCAAAGTCATTCGTTGAGTTTTACTGTAATATTGAAGATGAAAGATTGAATTCGTTTATTTTTGTCATTCAACCTATCTCTTTATGAAGTATGTTTTTACACTCATTCTTCAGTCTTCAGTTGTAGGATAAACGAATGCAGTTCAGAATGCATCTTTACACATACATCCGTCAATAAACAATCTTTCGATTTGTTTACACTTGTTAGCATTCCTAAATCCTCCTTCTTTAATGATTTCTATTTACATTTATTTTTTAATCTTTTACACAAGGTTACCTACAGTATGAATCATATGCCATACCATAAATGAAGTTTCTTCACCATGGTGTGTTGACTACAGTATTGAAAATAATAGTCAAAATAACACTGTACTTAATATTCCTTCCGATAACTGTTTTACGCTCCTTATTTTAAAATGGGCACTGAAAACTCACTATATCAATTACGTCTACTAAACATATGATACTTGATTATGACCTTGACTTCATGGCATTTGTAACGTATGCACTTCCAAAGTTAAACTTTATTTACTAAATAAATCACACCATCATCATTAAAAACTGTTATAAACATTTCGCGTCTTCTGGTTGGCTACGTTACGTTACACTAAACTCAGAAAGCCATAATTGTATCTTACTTGGTAACCTAAGTTAAAGATTGCAAAAAGGTTTTATTCAAATACACCTGACGTGAGAACCATTAATGAGATACCGGATTAACTGGTAGGAATATTTAGAAGCATACAGAACTGTACTGCGCAGGCACCAACAATAAATCAATTAGATTTAGCTTCATTCATGATATTCGGACCTCATAATAACAAGAAGTACTTGTTGTAAACAAGTACTGACATCAGTTGGAGGAACAATGGAAACCTGGGAGCACTGGATAGCTGTTGCATCCTAGTATGGGACTGCGGTGGGGCAAAGCCTGATTGTCGTGAGGACAGTTACTCAACGATGATATTGGGTGGCGGTTGTACTAAATCGTGAGCTAACAGAAGTTGGAAATATGGAACGTTGGATTCTGACCCATTGGCTCAATGGTGACGTGCTGGCCACGAAACCTGAAGGTCGCCGGTTTGACCCCTTGTGGTGCGGCGTCGTGGATGCGCACTGCTGAGAAGTCCCATACTAGAATGAAACAGCTGTCCAGTGCTCCCAGGTTTCCATTGTTCCTCCAACTGATGTCAGTCTACGATGAATAACAACTAGAAAAGTGATAATGTTGACCAATGCACATGCAATATAGATGATAAGAACCAAGAAAGTAGCATGAAAATTTAGGCACTCTGATAATAAAAGTGGGTTAAAAGCTTGGGAAAATAAAAGTTACGTAATACCGAGGGACGAGGTAAATGGATAAACAAAGTCTAAACAAATAAAGTAAGTACATGAAAGAGGTGAAGAATAAGAAAGAGTTGGAGAAAAACAACTCATGATAAAGTTATCAATTAAGTTTTCCTTGGTCAAGTGAGAGATAAGGGATGTAGAAACATCCTCTGGATACAAAGACTAGGACTGTTACCCCGAATTCCCACAGCTTCTGCCGTGTGTAAAAGATGAGGTATGCGGTGAATAATCGTGGAAACATTGTTCTAAAAAGTGATCACTATTACCGAATTTCTGATGGATTTTATCTGTGCCTTTACCAATCATGAAGGTAAATACTCAGCAACACGTCTGTTGAGTTGTCTAGTAGTACACCCTATGTAGCTTTCTCTACAGCAGCAGCTAAACATGTAAATACACATAGAAACAGAAAAGTTAGATATTCGTAGTGGGTGATGATTGAGATGAAAGTCTGGACCGCGGCCGGATTCGAACCAGAGACCACCGGGTTACCACCCCGGTACTCTACCAACTGAGCTACGAGATCCGACTGCTGACCAGAATTTTATTTCACTACAATCACTAAGGATTTTGCCCGACTACCGTGTGAATTCGTGACGCGTTACTACCAAACTGACAAACTACGGCAGTCAAATTATAATAAAATTAGACACCTTATCTTTTGTCTGAGTAACAATAACTGGTCGACTAGAAAATGATAGATAGAGTTATGAGGCGTAGAAAGTCCTCTTAATTACTCTACGGAGTCTCTGACATAAAACTTCTCCGGTTACATTTCCATTAAATTGTATTTGTATTATTATCACCATCGTTATTTTGAAACATTAAATTAAATGATAAATCTATATCATTGGTTAAGCTATCTGTATTACAGTAAAGCCTGAAGAGGATCTAAATGAAAACAATATTGTTCACTTATACGTCCTGTTCGAATTTATATGATGAGAATTTTTAAAACTATAGAAATAGGAAATAAGGCTTACTGACTAGCAAGAAACATTGACGCGAGTAACTCGGTCAACTACTTATTATACAATTCAGTAATGTGTAAATGTAATAATGGAACTTACTTGCATAGCACTAGAAACAAATGTTCGATTTAATGAATCTTTTCGGTTTTCTGATTTTGTTAATCTCAGTTTTATATATGAGAAGCATAGATGAAATATATGAGTTCCTCCGAATGTGTTCATAAGACTTATGCCAAATGTTGACATCCATGTAAAACTACATAAGAAGAAATAATGTATCAAGATTGCTATTGTCACACAGATACAACGATTCGATACATTAATTTGTCCAACTACTAGAGGCAATGTTAAATATACCAATAATAAGCCGAGAATAGACGAAGCTAAACCCATTATCAGTTGATTTGATACACGCTGATTTAATGATTTTGTCTTACCATGGATTATCAACAATACACAAAGGCATAGAGCTGAAAAGATACAGATAATCACTTGAAGAACATCCAAGATAGATTCAACCGTTTTCAATGTTGTCTGCTCTTCCTTCTTCTCTTCACTTATTTCGAAACCTAAATACTTTTCTGGTACAGCTAAGAATTCATGCCATTTTATACGATGTCTCAACACATTTGATGGGATGTTATAATATTGAACCGATACTCCACAAGGCCTTGACAAACTTGGTGGTAATGTTGAGCTAACAAGGCAAATTCTTTGATCTTTGTAGGATAGACGACAAAGAAATTTTACTGTATAAAATTTCAAATTTCTTCGTATGTAATCATTGAAATCTTCACCGGGTATAATTTTCAGCTCACCATGACATTGAGCACAATCAATATTCGCGTATACACGACCAGTTTTTACTGAAACCACCGGAGCAATAACACGTATATCTGATTTTTTTATATGAAATGGAATTGTATTTGATATAAGACCAGATATATGCTCAGTGACTGATGTACTCCAGTCGTATCCACTGTTAATAGATACATTATCAAAATGTAGTTCAATTTCTTTGGAACGATTACATCGATGAGCTAAACTGTTTGGTGTGTTCAATGGACAATCTGCAACAGCATAGATTTGTTGAAGCTCTTCATCTTTCTTTTTTCTTTCGCCACTTGGTTCATCTGTTACTTTATGTGTACTTGGAATACATGTTGTTTCTACAATTTCATGTCTTTTGCCATCCGTTAACAAACTGTTATTTAACAATGGATAATCTGAACAACAGTCTGATTCATTCATGCATAACTCATCACAGAAGCATCTCGTCTGTAATGACTGACATGTATTATTACCGATATCTTGATACTCTCCAAGGTAATCATCATCATCACCATCATCAGCAACATACTCGTTTACAGTCAATAAAGTAAATGAAAAGTTTATTAGAAAGCAACTATAAATTAGATATATGTATCCAAACATTTATTTCACATTCAACAAACTCTTGTAAACTCGTTTGTGTAAAATTTGAAAAATTATCTTGTACCTTGTATCAGATACAGATAAACTTGTACAAAATTGACCAATCAGAGAGGAAAATTTAACGACTAATGGGAAAATACTATCAGCACGTCTGATTTTCTTCTCCGATGTTGGAATAAAGACTTTCATTTGTATTTTTGTGCATTCCTATTTATGTAACAATATGAAATGTTCACGTGATAACTTGTTTTGCTGAATAATTAGGGAAATACAATGGTTGTATATTTACCGGTATCACTGTGTAACATTTACACTGTCAGGGAAGTCTATTTAAGAAAATACTTTCTACAAGTAAACTTAGCTTAAAGAGTAGAAAAATACTATTTTAAAACATTTTTACTTTATTATACAGACAACAAACCATCTAAAACAGAGTATTTTTTTGAAATAAAAAAGAGGTCTACGAAAACATCATACTTGCAGAGTTTCAGGATGATGTAGACAGCACCTAACGAAGCAAAAATATGACTTGAAGATTCGATAAATCGTTAGAAGGACTGACATGAAACAGGATAATTGAAATGTGATGGATTAGCACCAATTGTGTGTGTGAAAATCGGAATATTTTGAGTTTTTTAGCTGTTTCACAACTTTGAATTAGTGTTTATCAAACAGTAACATCAGTTGGAAAACCATTGGGAACCTGAGGTCAATGAATAGCTATTTCGACGGAGTATGTGACTCCTCAGACGTGCACAACCATGACTCGAAATTGTTGCAGCACGTCACCAATTGATGTCACTTCTAAATGAATACCATCCTGAAATCAATAAACTCATCAAAAAACTTCCGGAAATGAGTGTTTTATGATTATTTTCATTTCTTCTAGATATACCATTAAACAACAAACAAAGTTTAGACTAATAAGTGATGAGAAATTAATACCAAAATGTCTACTTTTTATTGAATGTTAAAAGCGATTAGTAAGGAAATGAAAGCTAAACCTTAAACCGACTACTGATCGCAAACCACCTTAAATTGGTCGGTACAATTGGAGAAACAAAATGAATGACTCTAAAAGGCCATCCTAGAAACAAATGGAGAAAAATTTGATTTCTTTAATTCAATACAATAAGACTTTGGTTTCATGAAATACGCAAATCTGATTGGTTGCTTCATCGGATGTAGGATGAGTCATTAGAGTTACTCAACAAAATAGTACTCATATAGCGTTCTCACTAACTACAGGACTGATAGTCAAGAAACGAACACCATTTTAATTTCAGGATTAATATTTGTCCCTTGGGTTCCCAGTGAAACACACGGCTTCAATAGCACGTCAACATCTCCATTTCACTCTCCCATCTCCACTATTTTCAAAACTGGCTACACCATTCACCAAAAACTATCATCTCTTACTCACACCATCTCCTCAATATCACCCTCAATTCACATACACAACTCATCGCCTCCACTTTCGCTTACACTCCACCAACTCACATGGCCTGTCACCTGTCACCTGTCACATGTCGGCCTCTCCTCAAACAATCTTCTCAGTGTATGCCCACTACAATCAAATCAAATCAAATCAAATCCATCTCCACTTCATTCTTCCCCACATTTGTTGGGTGATACCTTCTTCGTTGCTTCCTTACCAGCCAGCCAGCCAGCCAGCCAGCCAACCAACCACACTTCCTCCTTGCTTATTCCCATTATCATCCCATCCTCGACATCCATCTGATCTTCAGTGTCACTATCCAGTTCGTGTCAGTGTAGGTGGCAGCTGTTCATGTGGTGCATGTCTCCAGATTGTTGCGAATGCTTTCCGTAACATGCCGAGTCTCTCAACCATCACATAGAAGCGAGCACTGACTTACTTGACACAATTAGTGTTGAGGATGTGGATGTTGTTCACGCTTTATGCTGAGTGGAGTGGAGTGGAGTGCAGTGCAGTGCAGTAGATCTCCACACTGATTATTTCAGGTTAATGAATGGAGGCCTGTCTTGCTGTATTTCCGATGGTGGCTTTGACATTCTCATCTGTGCCACCCGTAGTTGAAGCGATAATGCCTACATAGGTAGGTAAGTGGGTGAAAGACACCACTTCCTTTAGGTTTCTCCTGTTGATGGTTGGTTGGGTTTCCTCATCATCTCACCAAAACCCAGAGATAAATAATTTGTAGTTACTGTAGTTGCTGTTAGTGTCTCATGTCCATTCGTAAAGTCAACGATGTTATTTTTCAACAGCGTAATTGTTGATTAGCTATGACAGCAACTATTCAAAAGCCAGTCTTAGTAATTAATCACTTGGATAACTTCCATTTATTATGCTCCGGTTAAACCACGACAATTATGTAGTTAAACTGTAAGGAATGCATTCAACATTGAATAGTTTACAAATTTTTCCCTCAGCAGTTGTTTTGTCTTTTTATTACTGCTTGTCTGACAGTGTGATCTAGCCCCACAAAACTCTAGATATATATCTCTAGAGTTTTGTGGGGATTTTATTGGCCTCAAGTAGGCATTCCCCGCAGAGTGACATAGAGTGGACAACCACCGAAAACCTGGAACCGCTAGACAGCCGTTTCTTCTTCGTATGGAACTACTTAGTAGTGCGCATTAATGACCTCATCAGGGATCCAACCTACCACCTTCATGTTTCGCAACAAGCACGTTATCACTGACCAACTGAATAAAAAAACCAATTCTATTAATTTGCAATACAGTCTCACCTTCATCCAATAACATGGTTGGGTACTTGTCCTTCCGTGCAACTTGGATTTTCTGATTCACTTTGAGCTCTCCCATTATTTTCAAATTTTCGTATATTTTGTCTTCCAGGCAAATGGAATTTTTTCTAATGTTTCCTGAATTTCAAATGATACATTATACTAGTGTCTGGTATAAGTGCAATCCCTATCTTCGTCTGTTGTTCAAAAACTTTCTCTTCTCACCGAAATATTATCTAGTATTTCAATTCACAAGCAATTTTGGTACTTACCCCCGTTGTAATAATAATTACTAGGTTTCAATTTTTACCCTCTAAAACAAAAAGTTGATTGGTTTGACTGATAAACTTTTAAAAGTGCTCAGCTTTCGTATATTTCTTCTAACTTTAAGTACATTACTTTATCATGTTTCAAATCTCAAGAGCTAATTATTAAGCTGGGAAGCCAGCACCACAGAGAGGTTTGGTTCATTCTCACCTTCGAGCTTAACTCTTATATTTATTGATGAATCTAGACTCAGCCGAAAGAATATGAAATTTTCAAAGGCATCTGCTAAGATCTTATGTGCCATTCCTAATCTCCTTGTGTTCTATCTGACCAAAAAAGTAGATACAACTATAAGAGATAATCCTAGTAGGCAAAAATAGCAATTTCAGAGGTCATAGGTGCGGTGATTTTCTGAAGTTGCTTCATAATAACACTGCGACTGGCTTCGTAAAAAGCACATAGCAAATATGTATTTATATTGGATGATGATTGAAGGTGAAATGAAAATTTGGACCACAAGCAGATTCGAACCAGCGACCACCTGGGTGGTCTACCAACTGAGCTACGAGGTTCAACTGCTTACCAAATTTTTATCTTATTTCAATCACCATAGGTTTTGCCTGACCACCATGTGAATTCGTTATGCTTTACCACCGCCCGATCGTATTCACACTGGTTGATTTGACAGGACTTCCCATCCCAATCGAAATGTAATTGAATTAGAAAAGGGGAGTATCATACCGATTATCATTTTGGTGATCTTAGAGAGAGGTATAAGATGCTCACCCTCTCTAATTCAGTTATACTTGGATCGGGATGAGAAATCCTGACTAACAAGCGGTAGTAACGCAAAATCTATGGTGACTGAAGTGAAAGAAAAATCCAGTCAGCAGTCGGACCTCGTAGCTCAGTTGGTAGATCTTCTGGCCAGAAATCCCTGTGGTCGCTGATTCGAATCCGGCCGCAGCCCAAATTCTCGTTTCACCTTCAATCATCACGCAGTATCAATACTAGTCTACCAAACTATGGCTATCTCAGATGGTCGAAATGATAATAAATATATATTTAGTGATGTAAATAAGTTACATAATAATAGTCGCTGACCTTAGTGAACCTTCGACATATCTCTAATGATATCACATGAAAATAAACAAATTATATGATATGGTAGACTGACTTATTATCCGGACAGCACTTGACCCATTACGGACATATGAACGAGAAAGTCCTGTTTGATAAATACACTGATGGAACCTGGCATCTTTGAATGTTTTAGGTTTAAGTTTAAGTATATTTGGAGAGCGCTTTGCATGTGTCACTAGGCCAATACCCGTTGTACAAAAGGTGGCTATCGTACCTCCGTGGCCTAGAAGGTGACGCTTTGGCGTTTGAAGCTATGGATACGAGGTTCGAGTCTCAATGGGGATTACATTACTCACTGAAGTGCGGATATATCTAGCTGACGAGTCCCAGATAGGATGAAACGTGCATAATAGATTCTTCTGCTGGCTGAAATTATGTATCAAGACATCCGAATAGGAGCCTATATACCAACAGAGGTCGAACAATTCGACCCAATAAAACACCGGAGAATTAAAAGTATATCAACAAATAATTATAAATATTCATACAGCTGATGATAATATTAACTGGTAGAAAAAGAAAATATAATCTACCCAAACATTATGGATATTATTCAACTTCGAATAGTTTATACACCTACACAAAACTAAAATACAATCAACTTCTTTTCGAAATTGTTAACATCCAATCACGATTACCTTAGTTATATACTTGGTCTTAGAAAGATTAAATTCATTCTAATCTGTTAGTATGCTTGGATTGAATATGAACATTTTTATAGTCCAGACTATTTCTTTCGCTATTTAAATTACATCAACAATAAAAGTTAGACAAATCTGTGATTAAAATGCATATTTGTATTTTGTTGTGTATATGCCGTATAAATAAATTATGCACTACATATGTTTCATCATCTTTAAA